CCCCCAGATCTTAAGGTTATTCTTTGGAACACTAGGGGACACTATCCTGAAGCTAATTTTCACCCACATAGACTTGACCAGGAAAGAAATTTCTTAGGATAATCATAACTGGAGCCACTATAGGATGATATCAGAAAAAAAATATGTAATTTACTGCCCAGCACAGACATGTGGATAATAAGCAGTCGTCTTTCTGTTGACTCTGACCTCTTTGTATTAATAAATGATCTAAAGTTCTTTCAGTGGAGTTTTAGGCAGGTGTCATATTTTTGGGTAAGAGATCAAAGTGTGATTATTTATATTCAGAATATTCTGCCCATATCTTTAATTATATTTAAAGATTGTTCTTCTCTTCATTTTTTAAGTTTTAAAGCAAGCAGTTCTTGTGTTGGCACGTAATAAGCATTCAATAATATTAGCTATTATCATTACCATTGTTATTATTACTGTCTTTCTTCAATGAAATTATGAACTTTCCTGATATGCCTGGGACCAGGTGAATCTAAGAAGCATGCTGCTAGGGAGTGTCCCAACAGTGTCCGTAAGTGGGAACTACTAGTTCTAAACAAACTATACCTACAATTAGGGACATATCATTCATTTGTCATCTGTTCACTCTTCCACTCTTTCAATAAGTATTTGTTGGCACCTACTGTATTCTAGCTACTGTAGTAAGCTCTAGGGAAGAGACACAAATGACTAAGATATGTCATATTCTAGTTTTTTGCATTTTTTTTGTATCACTATATAAAACAAACCTTATTGTCCGTATATATCTATGTCACAGGAATGTATCATATGTGCGTGGCCCACAGCGGCTTCCGAATAGAAATAACATCCATCTCTTATCTCTTTGCTTCTTAAGGCTTGGCCCTGAACTTTCAGTTCTTCTCATAAAAGCTTGACTTAGAAAAGAATTCATCTGTTAAGTGATGGTAGTTAAAAAAAAAAAAAATCCTCATTATAACAGAATCATAGGACTGGATTCGCACAGTGCTGATTCTTCCAGGATATGAACATAGCACAGGTTAAGTCCTGTCCCCAAAAGCCTGACCACTGCTTAGGATTTATTATGTGTTAGTCTCCACAGCAACACCAGCAGTTTAAGCGCTCCCACAATGGATGAACAGTAAAGATTTGTGTTTGAATGAGTTTCAAATAGTCCCATGAAGGGGAATAGAGGATGTGGCACTTGATGTGGTTGCAGTTTTGCATTAGTTCACATGATTATTTGACATCTTGGTTGATCACACAGTGTAGCAGTAAAATTGTTTTGGTGTTAACCCCCCAAAATAGATGTTTTTGATTCTTAGTGATATACACTTACTTACTTTAGTAAGATATTATATGCATTATAAAACATATACCAAATGTAGAAATTAAGAAAAGAATGAAAATTTTTTTAATTCCTAAGTAATAGTTTTAATATTTTCTTCCTCCCTTCATCTGAAATGCACAGCCCATTTTGGAGACCACGGGTCTCAACTCCAGGCCCGTGGGAGCAGGAACTTTGCCTGCGTTTGCTCACCATTATCTCTGCAGAGAGCAGTCTATACTCAAAAAACATTTAATTAATTAATGATTTGACAGAGTTGAATGGGACCTTGGGTAATCAAGTCTCATGTCCCATCCAGCAGAGGCATCTTCTCCACAAAACCCCTCACAGGATATCACTTGACCCATGCTTTCCAGTGACAAGAATTCATGAGGCATCTTTTTTCTCTTTCAAATCGCTCTAATTGATATAGAAATGCCCATTGTATCCACACAAAGTCTGTCTCTATGTGACATTTACCATTGGTCCTAGATTGATCTATCTGGACACAGACTCTGAGCCTCATTCATAGCACTTCAGATATTTGAATTGACTGCTGTGACCATCTTGATTAACAAACGTTTATTAGACTCCAAATATGTGCCAGACTCTGTGCTCAGAGCTGGCCTGACAAGGGGGAAGAAAACATGCCCATAGCTTTGGGAAATATCACCATCTCTTCAGTAAAAACTCCTTTAGCTGTCTTAGTCACATATGATAATCTGCCCTGTAGCTTGCTTGCTGGTCATATTCAGAATACACCCACGTCTACTAAGTTTATAGGGTTTATGCTTGTCTGTTGAGCGTGGCACAAAGATATGGAAACCATATTTCAGAAATGATCAACAACAAAAAAGCATAGCAATCAACAGGACTCTTGCATCTTTTGGTCTTAATCCTTACTTGACTTTTGTATCAATAGCCATCATTGGCTTAGATTGCACTTTTTAACTAGAACTTGTACTTTGTTTTCACTTGAGTTGCTATCAAGCCAGATTTCTCAATATATTGTGCAAAATCCAATCATTTGTACAATGATTTTTTTTAATGTAGGATATTCTCTTTATCCAAGTTGAATATTTTCTTATTAGGTTTAGCCCATTGTTGTAGCCAATAAAGTTTTTTTTTAATATATCTTTATTGATTTCAGAGAGAGGAAGGGAGAGCTGGAGAGAGAGAAATAGAAACATCAATGATGAGAGCATCGTTATTGATCAGGTATCGAACCACGATCTCCTGGATCCTAGGTCGATGCTCAACCACTGAGCCAAGCAAGCTAGGCAAAGATACTTTAAAGTATTTATTTTTGTCGTCCAATATATTAGCTATCCTTCCTAGCTTTATGCCATCCTTATATTTAATCATTGTGGACTCATCCATGTCATTGATAAGATCATTGATCAAAGTCAAGTCTAATCGCCAGGACTCATCACTCAGACCTCCATTAATCAACACTCTTTGGGATGTTCAGTTAGCTATTAATCCAGTCTACTGTTATCCAGTGTGCATTCTGCAGTTCATCCATGAACATCAGAGACTGTCAAATCTCTTACTGCTATTAAGGTACACATGTTTGCAAATATCCCCTGACTTACCACTCCAGTAACCTGAACAAGAAAGGGTATTACAGTACTTGCTCATGGTGAATCGTAGAAGTAACTTTTTTCTCTTCTAGATATTTATAAATAATGTCTCCATTCAGACTTAATTATGCAAAATAAAACTTCCTGTGGTCAGTGTAATTTTAGATATTTAGTATATGCTTACTAAATACTTATTGACTGATACACAACAGCTATGAAATTAAAGTGTCAAATAGCACATAGCTCTTCAGTACTAGATTTAAGGAGCCTTGAGTTCCCAGCAGATAT